CTCAACAGAGGTGATAGCAGCTGGAGGCAGTGGTGGAGACTGGACAGAGCCCAATGGAGGAGCATCAGAAATTCCAGAAGTGGCCCCAGTCAGAGTCAGTTGTAGAGCTGTGAAAGAGCTTGAAACTCCAGCTTCTTAGAAAGGAGACGACTAAGCGCTGGCCTGGGACTTGAAGTCCTATTCTTTGAGGCAGTTCTATAATGGTCTGGCTTCCCTCCAGATGGGAAATCTGCCCAATTAATCAATCCACAAGCATTTGCGGTTGTTAAAGAGGCATTCCAGTGAATTCCACCTTCACCCCAGGGACCTATAATACTACCCTAAAGGTCCATGCTCTACCCACCCAAGGGAGGAGAAGGAACTCAAGTTGCCCAAGCTTATTGCTGGTCTTGTCCTCTACATGAAAGATAGGATTGCAGAGTTAGATCAAGAAGCGGCCACTGAATCCATCCCCCTCACTTTACAGATGAAGCTGAGAGAAGGCTGGATCCTACAGCAAGTAAGTGTCCGAGGCAAGATTTAAAACCAGGTCTTTATGACTTGAAGCCTAACATTCTATCCCTCGAAGTCACCCAGCTGCGTCAAGGATGTGTGTGCTCAGGGTAGAGCCAAGTTTCTGCTAACACTAGAAAGGAAAAGAAATAGTGGTTTCAGAATGACAAAGGCATGGAGGTAGAAAGAGAATTTGCATTTGCAGTCAGAGAACACAGGTTCAAATCCTGGTTCTGCTACTTATGTGATCTTGAACAAGTTTCATAGGACCTTCAAGTCACTCTACAAGTCTGATTTTTCTCATCTATAAAATGGGGGTGGCGGTGGGGTTTCACTAGATGACCTCTAATGTCCTTTTCAGCTCTAGATTTATGTTCCTGAGACAGAATCTCAGAGTTTGATGAGAGGCCATCAGGTTTAACTTGAAGGTCATCAAGTTAAATTTGCAGGTCATCCAGTTCAACTTGGAGGCCATCAGGTTCAACTGGAGACCATCAAGTTCAACTTGAAGGCTACCACATTCAACTTAGAGGTCATCAAGTTCAACTTGGAGGTCATCAAATTCAACTTGGAGGCCAACAAGTTCAACTCGAAGACCAATAAGTTCAATTATTCAACATGGAAGCCCTCAAATTCAACACACAGAACCAGGATTTGAACCCAAGTCCTAGACCCAAAGCCAGATGACAGGAGGTTTGACTCCTGGCTCTGCCACTTACTATCTTTGATGCTGTGCAAGTCATTCATTCCCCTTCTCTGAGCTTTAGTTTCCTCATCTACAAAATGGGGGTTGAGAGGCAGATTAGCAAAGTGGATGGAAAGCAAAGGTCTAAGGAAGATCTGGGTTCAAGTTCTGTCTCTGGCACATGCTAGCTGTGTGACCCTGGGCAAGTCTTAGCTTCTCGGCGCTCCTAGGCAATCTTTAGCTATTTAGAGGTAAAAGGAATTTTCCCACCCTGGAGTTCTCTACATTAAAGAAATCACAAATTTGAACCAATAAAAATGAAATAAAAGGGAGTGATAATCACCGCCAATTACTCCCTTCAAGGCATTCGAAAAGGGAGCCTTCTGTTAACTCCAAAGTCCCAGCAGACAGTTCCCTCCCACTCCTTTAATGATGTCTATACATTCCCCTTCCTCCTCTTTGCTGTCTTTCCATTTCCTGTGTAAGCTCTGAGGGTCCTTATCCCAATTCCCCCTTGTTCTTCCCAGAACAAGGCTTCCTATTTCTCCTCAGGGCACTAGGGGTATCCAATTACAAATCCTGAAGTTCCCAATCTCCTTCCTTGGTGGAGGAGGAGGGAGAGGAGAGAAGACAAAGACTACTTCTCTTCCCCACCCCCACCAGCTTCTCCAAACAATTCCTTCTCAGGGGCAAGACTGAAACTACTCTTTCCTCTAATCTGTCAGGCATTTGAATCCTGGGTTCCTAATTGGCTTGCTGTTTTATAGAAAACCCAAAGAGCTTGACCAAGTTTCTTCAGCAGATCACAATACATTTCATGTCACATCTAGGTGAACTGCATTGATGAATTGATTGATTGAATGGAAATGTCTAGGCCTGGTTCATATTTCTGATTGATTCGATTGAGCTCCTACGTGTATACTAGTCAAGTCAGAGGACACAATTAGCTCTGAATGTAACACTTGTTTTGAATCCATCTCTTACAGAGGTTATAGAAACTGTTACTATTTTTTAAGAGCATAAGAAACTAAATGGAATTCTGACAGTTTGGGGGTTTTTTTGGTGGGGGAGGGGGCAATTTAAAAAGTCAATTCAGTTGAGAAAATGTCTTGATATGAAGTACCTCTCCCTAGAAGAGTCAGGAAGAAAGTGTTGGGTTTTGTTTTGTTTTGTTTTGTTTTGTTGGGGTGTGTGTGTGTGTGTGATTTATGTGGATCTGTGGGAGAGGTCTGACTCTGTGTACTCTTTTCCCTATGGAATTAGGGAGAAAGTATGTGTTTTATCTGTGATCCATAAGGATCTAAGAAGGAAGGAGGAAGGGAATTAGCATTTATATACCGTACTAAGCACTTTACACTTATCTCTTCCTCGATTCTCAGCACAACCTTAAGAGGTAGATGCTAATAAAATTATCCTCATTTTACAGTTGAGAAAATTGAGGCAGATAAAAGTTAAAGCTGGAAAGAGATGTTGGGGCCAGGTTGTGAAGGGCTTTAAAAACTAACTAAATAGGGAAGTTTATATTTTATCCTAGGGGCAATAAGAAGCCCAGTGTTGATTGAGTAGGGGAGTCACAAGGTCAGATTTGCCCATACGGAAAATTCCTTTAGCAGCAGTTTGGAGGATGACTGGAGTGGAGAAAAACCTGAGTCAGGGAGACCAGTTTGGAGGTTGTCACAATAATCTAAGTTAAAGGGGATGAGTGCATGATGTAAGGAGGTAGTTTTGCACAAAGAGTTGGATGTGAGAGATGGTGTGAAGGTAGAAAGTAATTGAATATGTGCAGTGAGGAAGAGTGAGGAGTCCAGGAGGATGCTGAGGTCACCAGCCTGGGAGACTAGAAGGATGATTGTACTTTTGACAGAAATAAGAGATGATGTCAACAGGTTTTGAGATGAGAGAATGGGAGAAGAGAGAACGCATATTAGATGACCTTAATTTTTTCAGTAAATTAAGAGGTCAGGGCCTCAGTTAAGAGATTGGAGGGCAGAAGGAGATATGGAAGGCTTGAGAAGAGAAGAAATGGTCTGCGATAGTTTCTGTGGTTAACGAGAGAAGGGATCAGTTAGAGAGGAATAAAAGAATTGTCTTGCTTCAGAGAGGGCCCTGTTGAGGCTGGAGGACACAAATTAATATTGTGCCCTCTCAGCGTAGTTATGAGCCTTCTTGCAATTCATTTAGCAGCTTTGGAGGAGGAAGGGAAAGAGGAGGAGAAGGAGGAAAAGAAAGAAGAGGAGGAAGAGAAAGAGGAGGAAGAAATGAGAATAATTCTGTGCTGAGGTTTGGCAAGGGAGGTGCAGGAACAGAACTAGGGGATGAGGGATTCTAAAGCAGAGAACATTCAAATCCAGCCTCAGACTCTTACTAGCTGGGTGACCCTGGGCGCGTCATCTGACTGCCTCAAAAAAAAACCAAAACAAAACAGATTTCAGCGTAGAGGTGAAACGTCTAACTACTGAGGTGAGATTGGAGAGGGAGGAAAGTATTCCTGATGGAGGGTGTAGAGGTCTTGAAGAGGTCCAAGAACAGGTGAATCAGAGAGAGATAGGAAGAAAGGACTCAGGAATGAGTGAACAAGCAAAAGACAGAGGATTTATCATCAGTGTAACTCTGAGCAAGACACAACCTCTCTGGGTCTCAGTTTCTTCATCTGTTTGTTAATTCTATTCAGTTTCCAAGCACTTATACTCATGATTGAATTTGTAAAAAGCAGTGGGAATTACAAGGAGGGTTGCTGGTATGACTGACAATACCTGTAAACAGAGGGACAAAATGATCATGTTGCAGATTTTTTTCTGGAGAAGAAGAAAGTCCATCAGCTTTCCTTCGTCCAGCAAGAGATTTACTCTAGGCTACAGCTGCACCTGAAGAGTCCAGAGGTCACCCTGACTTGCCCTGCTGATGTCAGGCTGAAAGATGTCCATCCAGAATGAAGAAACAGATGGCAATTCAAACCAATCCAACAGTCATTACGCGCTTCCTATGGATCCTCCCCAATCGACCAGGGGCTTGCTAGCTTAAAGAACCCATGAGCCATGCCATGCGGGGTTACCCAAGAAGGAGAGGTCATAGTGGAGAGTTCCGACAAAAGGCGAACCACTGGAGAAGGGAATGGCAAACCACACCTGTGGCTTTGCCAAGAAAACCCCGTGGCCAGTGTTGGCCTGGCTCGATGTGGGCCACGGTGTCACAAAGAGTCCCCACGACTGAGCAGCAGCAAGTGGAAAGACAGGGTGCCAAGCTATGGGAATGCAAAGACTAAGGCACGGGTGAGCGATGTGGACAAAAAGGGCAGGATGTGGAGACGGGGGTCCTGGGTTCGAGGCCTAAACTTGCCACTCACTAGCTATGTGACCTTGGGCTACTTCTTCACCCTCCCCTTGCCTCAGTTTCCTCATCCGCAAAATGAGGGCTTTGAACCAGATGACCTTTAAATTCTTCTCTAGATCTCCGATTCAGAGGTGAGATCTGAGGGGCTTTACAAAGAAATGAAGGTGAAATACCTGAAGGTCACTTCAGTTTATTTTGGAGGACGCCTGAAGCGTGCACAAGCTCACATCTTCTGACCTACAAGGTGTACGCCTCCCGGCCCCGCCCGTGGGCGGCCACTCTGTCACGTGACACGCCTCCCTCTCGCCCCTCCCCACCGGCCCCGCCCGTTCTCCAGAGTCCTAGGCCTGAGCTGGAAGGTGATTAGTTGTCAGAGGCCCGGCGCGTGCGGGGGGAGGGGCTACGGACGCGAGCCCGACGGCGTCCGCGTTCCCGGGCGGCGCCCCTCATTTCCCTCCGTCACCACGTTCCGCGCGTGCGCCCCCGAGCCTCTCTTCCGCGGGCTCTTATAGCGGCGGCCGGGACCCTGGAGAGGTCGAGTGACCGAGCGAGCTAGCGAACGAAGGCCTGGGTCGGCCGCTCGAAGACCTCGGGACACCGACGCCGCGACATGGGGGCCCCGCTGCTGTGGCTGCTGGCGGCCGTGCTGCTCTGCGCTCGGGCCGCCTCCGGAAACGGTGAGTGGGTCCGGGGCCGCCGGAGGCCCCCACGGCCCGGGCTCGGGGACCGTTGGGGGTTGAGGGGACCCAAGGTGGGCCCAGGGTGGAGGCAGCTAGGGCTCGGGGTGAGGGATGCGGGCTGAGGAACTGAGGCTCTGGGGACCCCGCGGGAGGGGCGCAGGCTGGAGGATTGAGGTTCCGAGCATTGGGGGGGAGGATCGCGGACTGAGAGTCTGAGGCTCCAGGGGGTCCGGGGGAAAAGGTGCAGACTGGGGGCCTTAGGCTCTAGGGGTCCTGGAGGGAGGAGCGTGGGCCCAGGCTGAAGCTCGGATGGTCCGGGAGGGGGAGGGGTGCAAACTGGGGAGCCTGAGGCTCAAGGGATGCTGGGGGAAGGGGTGCAGGCTGGAGGTCTGAGGCTCAAAAGATGGGGGGTCGTGGGCTGGGGGCCTGAGGATCCAGGGAGAGAGGTGCAGACTGGGGGCATGAAGCTCCAGGAGTCCTGGAGGGAGAGGAGGAGCGCGGACTAGGACAGCTACGGTCGAGAGTGAAGGGCCCCCCGAATTGAGGACAGATGGGGGAGACCAGGCCCCGGGGCAGGGTACCTGGGTAGGGGGGCGGGTTGAGGCCATGGCCGGGAAGAGCTCGGGACCTGGGGGATGAGGAGGGGGCTGCAGATTAGGGGCCCAGTATGGGTGAAGCGGGAAGGATTAGGGACCTGAGGGGGAGGACCTCGTGGGGGTCTCGGAGGGGAGAAGGGGTGGCTGAGGGGGAGGATTTTGCCTGGCACCTGGCTGGTGGTGGTGGGGATGGAAATGAAGTGTGTCCCTGTGGCTAGAGGAATGGGGGAGGGCTTGGGGCCTCCCTTGGGTGGGCGCATTTGGGATTTAGGTAAGGTTGGGAAAACTCTGTTTGAAGGCAGCCTCACCAGGCTTTTAGGGAAGGATCTCTGACTCACATCCCGTTTAGCAACTAAAGCCTGTCTCTCCAGGGCTCTTTATATTTTAAACTATCACTGGGGTCCATTTGTACTCAGTTTAGGCCAGAGCTCTCTGTCCGTCATGTTACATATGGGGGTAAATATTCGTGTAAAGGTAGAAAATAAATATCTTTCCCTTCCTCTGGTTCTAGATTAAGGCAATATGGCAACAAAAATTTTACCTACAGTGGGTTTGTGGGCTTATTGTTCTCAATTCTGGTTAGAAATTCAGCTTGGCTGCCATTCACTAGGGGAAGAGTTTTGAAAAAGGTGAGATAGGCTTCAATGTAAGATTTTTCCCCTCTGAAGTTTAAAGACAATTTATTTTGTCATGAATGATGGCTAATAATAGCATACACGTGTTGTGTGCCCATATGGAAGAGATCAAAGATTTGGATTATAGCTATATAGCCCTTGAGGGTTTTTCATGAAGCCCTTTTTCTGCAGCTATGAATTGCCAGTGTTACTGATCCTATTTTAGGGATGAAGAAAACTGAATCTGAAGGGAGGGGTGATTTGTTCAAGGTCATATAACTAGTAGATGTTGGGACTGGGAAATTTCTGCCTTCCACTTAAATGTTCTTACCACAACACTATGCTGTAATTTCTGTGTTTCTATTTTAAATTTAATATTCTAATTATTACTGTGTTTCTAATTATTTTTTCACTCAACTCCTTTTCTCCTTATCATAATTAAAAACTATTTCAATGCTCCCTGCACTGGACACTTGTGAACCAAGAGATCAACAAAAATGTTGAACCTTTATTCTCTTTTGTATTGTAGCCCTGGGAACAAAGAAAAGCTTTCACATGATAGAAGTTTTGCTTGTGTACTGAATTCATTCATTTTTAACTTTTCTTTAGGTTGTGTTATTTTTGCCACATGGATTTGTTTTCAATTAAATTATATTTTTTCAGTTATCAAGCATTTATCCCCCCATCTCTTCAAGAAAAAAAAGTTTTATAACTTTGTAACATGAGCATAGTCAAGCAAAACAAATTCTTATATTGTCCATGTTCAATTCTGCATATCAGTCTATCATCTCTCTGTCAGGAGGTGGGTAACATTCTTCGTGATTGGTTTTCTGAAGTCATGGTTAATCATTGTCTTGAATAGAGTTCTTAAATCTTTCAAGGTTTTCTTAGGTGTAATAATGATGTTATATAGTATAAATTGTTCTCCTGGTTCTTCCCACTTCACTCTACATCATTTCAGATAAGTCTTCTTTGCAGGTTTTTCCAAAACTGGCTCTTCATTTCTCACAGCATAGCAGCATGCTATTACATGAACATAGTATAATTTGTTCAGCCATTCGCCAGTTGATGGCCACCCCTGAATTTCCAGCTTTTTGCCACTACCAAAAGCTGCTATAAATATATCCTGCTTCTTTAGTCTATTTGAATGACTCATGTTTTGTGCCATGGTCAGACAGTTTGGTTGCACATTCAGGAAAGAGCAAAAAAGTTATCATTCCATTAGGAAATTTTTCTCCCTGTGAGTTGGTTCATCTGCTTTCTATTCCCTTCCTCACCTCAGGGAAAATTGAAATTTAGTCCACTTAATTTTTTTGTGGGGGGTGGGGAAGGAGAGCTGCTTCAGTGTGCTCCCTTGCTGTGCTCAGATAACTTGAATCAGTTTGGTTTTTCTTGCAATCACTGAGATACCAAAGAAGAAAATTTCTTGACCCAGATTATCGATCTTGGCATTTTTTTGTTTGTTTTTTGCCCTAATCTTGGAATGTAGTCAACTCCTAGTTTTCTTTAGGTGAATTATCCACCTTATCTACAAAGAACTATAGAATAAAAATCTAGAGGGGATCTTAGATGTCATTTTGTCCAAGTAGACCCCCTTGCTGGCTGTTCTCTTGACTTTGGCTGCCAGATTCTTCCACATGGTTTGATGTCTCACATTCCTTCTGCTATGGGAGCTTATGGGGAGAGGGCCAGAATGGGGTTGTTAAATATGTCATTTTTAAAGCTTCTTTTATCCTCACATCTGGCTCCATTAGTATAGATAATTTAGCTGGTTATCTAGGAAGAAGCCAAAGTATTCTATCTGAAAGCTGCAGGATGTGTGCTACAAGGCAGCAGAGGAGGTAGAGGTCGGCTTGTTCCCCCCACCTGTTGTGGGCTATCTCAGTTTAATTTTGGTTACAGTCCAAACTCTCTGGGTTCTTTTTTCCCCTGGAGCAGGTAGTGTCTGTTTTTAGGTGGAGGTGACTTTACTTAGGAGTCTTTCAGGTCATGTGATTTTCTTAGGGCAGAGAATCAACTGGCTGTAGTAGTTTTAACTGTTAGACTGATTTTGGAAAGAAATTTTACACATTCCTAGTGCTCCTAGTTGCTGGGGAACTTCATACCCTTTGTACTCTGTTCACATTATCCAGGCTGTAGCTGTATACTATTTGAGTTGTTGGCAGTGATTTATTGCTTCAGGGCACCTGTAAAGCCAGGTTTAGATCATTGTACATTCTTGCTAAATAGTGATAAATGGTGTGCAATACTTCCTACAGATTTCTCAAATTTTCATATGTAGTTTCCATAATATCTTAGGTTAAAAGTGGTTTTTATTTAGTTGATGATAAACATAACTCCCTCATTTTATAGGTGAGAAAATGTAAGCTGGGAATTTTTACGACTTGCCAAAGATCATATGATGAGTTAGTGAAAGAGCTAGGGTTAGAACCCAGGATTGTATTAGTTCAAAGCATTTGTTAAGCACCTACCATGTGCCAGGCACTATGCTAAGTGCTAGAGAGACGAAGGAAAGGCAAAAGACAGTACCTGCCCTCGAGGAGCTCCCAGTCTAATTGGGAGACAGCATGTAAACAACTTGGGGGTAATCTCAGAGGGAAGATACTCAAATTAATGAAGACCTGGAAAGGCTTCTTGCAGAAGGTGGGATTTTAGCTAAGATGTGAAGGAAGCAGAAGGCTGAGATGAGGAATAGAAGTGGTGGGGAAGGAATATGCAGTGATTAAGTGTGGACCAGGCACTTTGCTAAGTGTTTTACAAATACCATCTCATTTGATCCTCACAGCATCCCTTTGAGGGAGGTAGATGAGGAGGAAGAGCTTTCCCAGCATGGAGACAGCCAGTGAAAACCCACAGAGTGTGGAGGTGTTCCAGGAATAGCAAGGAGGCTGCTGTCGTCACTGGATTGTAGATTATGAGGAGGTGGTGGTGGGTAGGTGTGGAGGATAAGGTGTAAGAAGACTGGAAAGGTAAGAAGGGGCCAGATTAAGTAGGGCTTAAAAGGCAGGGGATTTTATTTGATTCTGTAGGTGATAGGGAGCCATTGGGATTTTGTGAATAGGGGGTGACATGGTCAGACCTGCATTTTATTTAGGAAGACCATTTTGATAGCTGAGGGGAAGCAGGACTGGAATGGGGGAACACTGGAGGCAGCCAGACCAGCCAGCAGGCTAGTGCAGTAGTCCAGGTATGAGGTGACAAAAGCCCGCACCAAGTGAGGGCAGTGTCAGAGGAGAGAAGGGGGAGGATGAGATACTACACAATGGTAAAATTAAAAAGCACCTAGGACACCTAGAAGCAGTGCAGCATTCTCTGTTGGGAATGAAACATTACAATTGTTTCTTCAAAGGGATACTTTCTTTAAAGGGCCACATCCAGTTGCTTTTCATTTCTGGTATTTCGTTTACTTTCCAAAGCTTGCACAGAAGTAGCTCAGGTCCTTTTCAGACCAAGGCACAACTAGGCAGCTGGTAGTGAAATAGATAATCCAGTGCTGGGCTTGGAGACAGGAAGACCCAAGTTCAGATATGACCTCAGGCACTGACTAACTTGGGCAAGTCACTTCACCTATTTGCCTCATTTTTATCAATTGTAAAATGGAGGTCATAATAGCACCTACCTCCCAGGGTTGTTGTGAGGCCAGGATGAGATACTAATTGTAAAGTGCTTAGCCCAGTGCCTGGCACATAGTAGGTGCTATATAAATGCCAGTTATTATTAAATGGTTGAGAACCAGACTAGTATTAATATGCTAACAGGTGCTAGCTGCTCCACAGAGACTGTCACAAAGTCTCTCGGTTCATTTGGAATGAAATATGTGAAAGGCTTAAAGACTTGATTCTCTTAAACCTTTGAGTATTCACTTTGCAGAATGTAGCTTACATACTACCAGACCCTTTCCCACCCATACAAGTGTTTGGACCGGCTCACCTGTATGTATGTGAGGTGGAGTATCACTGAAGTCCTCTGATAATTATGCTACATGTTACCCTTCTAGCCTTTATTCCCCTTCACACACTCTCAACTGGACTACTTGCCGTACCTTGATCTCATTCCATTGCCCTCTAATGCGTATTCCTTTGCTCATCCTGCTGTACCCCAGGCCTGGAACAGATGACTTGCTTTCCTTAGCTTTCCTCTCCAGCCTCTTCATAAACCAACACCAAAAACAAATCACATGCTGAAATCCTGAAGCCTTAGCATTTTTAAGGCCCAATTCTAGTGCCCCCTCCTCAGTGAAGCTTTCCTTACTTCCTTCTTCTTTTTCCATGCTCCACCCCAAGCTGAAAATGATCCCTTCCTCCTCAGTTATCCTATTACATGTAGCTTTGATCCCGTTTTGATTTATCACATTCTAATTGGTATCCTGCTTCTTTCCTGTTAGCTCAGAAGGAAGAGACCATATTTTATTCATCTTTATTGTATTCTGAGAGGCAAATAGAGTGTACTGCATGTAGTGGGTATTTACTGTTTATTTAATTGAACTGAATACCAGCTTAACATTTGGTTTCTTTCCCATGGAGCTATAAAATCCATAATCAGTTATGTGTCTATGGCTCAGTCAGGATTCATCCAGTTTTGTGACTAGAGGCTACATTCTTTGGAAGGAATAAAAGAAAAGGAAAATGAGCTTAAGAACCACATTTATGCTTAGCCCAGACAATGAATGGCTCCCTCTGAGAACATAGATCTCTTCAGCCTTGTCAGCTGTTACACAAAGTTTATAAGCTCAATCCCTCTGATGAACAGTGGCTTTGCATCTTAGGATTCCTGGTAGGCTGCCGTTAGCCTTTAGGGCTGTACTTCCTGGATGGGACTTGGAACACTACGTGCATATACACTATTGATTTTGCAGTTTCTGAAGATTTTAGTTCCTTCTGAGATGTTTGAGTTGAAATGAGGTGAGATGATTGTTTTGTTTTAGTGGCACCATTAGAAATTCTCAGACCCAACCAACTCTTTAAGGATTCCGAAATTCTTTTGACTTCTGAATTAATGTCAGCTGTTGTTTTCAGATGAGTTCCTGGGTGTCCAAGTCCCTTGAAAGAGAATGTGTTGGTCAGTCATTGTGTTGCTAATAAGCCCTAGACTGATAGTCAGGAGCTCTGAGTTCTGGCTTTGTCTTTACAAATAAGTGACCACGTGACCTTTAGCAAATCCTGTGCTCTCTCTCAGGAGCCTGCCTTGGAAGCAGCAGGGGCTGGTGGTGGGCTGGCTTAGGAGGACAGTGAAGCTTGATGTTTTTGTCCAATACTTAATTGGAACATCTGTTAATGGCTGTTGGATTGATGTGAATTACTACATCTGGCCAGGTACCAAGTTTGTATTTTGTGCTTTAGCTTTGCTAGGTTTTCTATTTCAAAGAAAGAGTTCTTTATCTTTTCTGGATTTTGTTACCTTCAGCAAAAAAAAAAAAGTGATTGGTTTAGAAAGATTTGAGTACTTGAGCTTTCTTTACTTGTAAGCTGCATCTTGGACAGTAGGAAACATTTATTTGCTGCAATTGTGATCACAAGAAGAAACCTGGATCTTTTTTAGTACCTGCCAGGAGCTGACATAATTAGAGATACTAGTGACCTGTAGGTAATATTTGCCTTATATGATGTTTTTAGAAATCTAGTTTGATAGTTTGTGAAACTAAGAACTTCTGTTCTGAACTTCAACACTTTCCCTCCTATCCTGTGTTTTTTTCTTTCCTCCTCTACCCCCCAACCCACACCCCACCGGTGGATAGATGAAAACAGACAGCAACTGCAGTAATAAAGACAGCCAATGTGAAGCTGCTGCTTTTTCATGTTTGTAGTCATTTGTCTTTCTAAACTATGTTACTCACAGAAACTTCTTCAAGAGTATGTTCCCTAGTTAGGGAAATGCCTTCTATTGTTTGCATTGTATCCTGTTCTTGAGAATACATTAATCTTTGTCACTTTGTGAGAAGGCTCACTCAGATTATTTATTCTTTATTTATAAAATATAGCAACACTTGATTCAGCTGAATTTGCTAAATGATAAGCAACTTTTGAATATCAAAATAGTGGATAGCTAAGAAGCAAAAATGGTTGTGTGCAACCAAAATAGTAGTGATAGTCCACGTTTCTAGCCTGTTTTGCGATTATGATATGCCTGTAGAAGTTGTTGATCCTTCACCTCTCTGTGAGGCAGGCAGGACAACTAGAGCTCTCATTTTAGAGATGAAGAACTAAGCCTCAGGAGCAAAGTGACTTGCCTAAAGTCCCACAGCTGGGAAGTGAAAAACTGGGGCTTGGACCCAGCTCTCCTGGGTTCTCATTCCACTGCCCTTTCTTCTCTGTCACACTGCTTTTTAGAAAGAATGACTATTGCCAACAAAAGTTTTTGTTTTAAAATGGAGACTATGTTAATCCTCCAGTTCATCCACTCATAATTTATGAGAATTAAGGACAGGGATGCAGGTATTCACCAGGCCGGGGAATTTCCAAATACTTTTGAAGCATGGGAAGTACCATTCCTTTGCCATCATTAGTGTGGGTAACTGGCTTTAGAGAAGAAAGCTAATGCTTTCTTAGATTTATATTTGTTTGGTTTTGTGGTTTTTTTTTTGTTTTTTTTTTACTTTTAAACTAACATTTGCACTAATACTCTCCAACTCATAGCTGGCTTTATAAAATCACCACTATCCAAAAAGAAATTGGTGGAGGACAGTGTGGAATTACACTGTGAGGCAATTGGCAGCCCCATCCCAGAGATCCAGTGGTGGTTTGAAGGAAACGAACCTAATGAGACCTACTCCCAGCTGTGGGATGGTGCTCGGCAGGACCGCGTCAGAATCCATGCCACCTACAATGAGCATTCTACCAGTACTGTCTTCATCTCTAACCTCACAATCAGCGACTCTGGCACATATGAGTGTCGGGCCAGCAACGACCCTGACCGCAACCACTTGTCGAAGAGTCCCAAAATCAAGTGGGTTCGTTCCCAAGCAAACGTAATTGTCATCGAACGTGAGTGGCTGGGCTGAAGCACTTGACCAGACTCCACATTCTTTGGATGTCTGAAGTTTGCAGTGCACCACCTCCCACCTGTGCCCTGTGGCTTTCTGGCCCATTGTCCCTCCTCACTTCCCTGCTTTGGCTTTGTAGACCTGAGAAACTTCTTTCCTTCTGTGACTCTCCCTCTCATTCCCTTACCACTGAGGCCCTGCTCAAAAAGGGTTGTGTGACTTTGATATAAAATGCTCTCTGACCATCTTGTGCTGGATTCCAAAGGCCTAGAACTGTTCCATGCCTCAAGTTGTCCTGTTCTGTGTTTGCAGATTCAGAGTCTTGATTCTGTTTAAGGGCTTTGTTTTAACTATTACCAGCAAACTAGTCCTTCCGTTTTTTCTTCTATGAATACTCTGCCTTGCATTCAGAGGAATCCTGCCTTTTTCCAGATGATCCAACCATTTTTGAAATGGCCATTTCTATGTTACTCAAGTAGATCATAGTTCTTGGTGTTGTGAACCAACCTTGCATACAGAGCTGAAAGTCTGAGTTTTGAAGTAGGAGGGTTTTCCCAATATTGGATCTACTCTAAAAATAGGTTACTGCTTTGGGAACACTGTACTCTTTGAATTATATTTGATTTCCTAAGACAGCTTTTTAACATTCAAAGCTGTTGCAGCCAAATGATTTAAAATGTTCCTTGGCTGATAGTGCAAACCCAGTTGCACAGTATAGTGGAGCTGTGCCAGGTGATCAAAACAAAGAACATTTTTCAGCCCTGTATGAACAGTTCGTTGGGTGGTACCAGGGTGACCTGGGCATAATAGGAGGGTAGACTTGTGTATGTCATGGCAGTTATTTGTTTGTGGGGAGAATTTCGGCTTCTTGAGGATGTTTTTCAAAAAATTTTTATTTATTCCTTAAAAATAACTTTTAGTAATAATTAGAACTGATATCGATTTAATGCTTCAAGGTTTGTGAAGTGCTTTACGTATACCTAATTTGATCAACACAATCCTTTGAGGCCCTTCTGACAGCTGGTGTCACCATCATTTTACAGATGTGGAGGAAGCCAAAGCCCATTTTCATGTTAGCCTAATTTTAAAGGTTTCTGAGGCTGAAGTAAAAATAAAGTCATGAATGTGTAACTATTAACCTATTGCTCACAAGGATGTATTTGTTTATTAGAGGTAAAGTGTCTTCCTGCAGAAAGGACTCAAATTTATTTTGGGATTAAAATCAGTTAACTTTTCCTTGAGAATATGCCTGTTATGAGAATGGCTAGGAATGCAACCTGCCTATGTAAAAAATAGTTTTTTAATATAGTCTCTACTCAAAACTTTGGTCTCTAGGCTTCAACAATGAAGCCTGTACCCCTATAAAGTAGAAAACTATAAAAAATTAATGGGGGATAAGAAGGTAAGAATGAAAGTGGGGAGAGAATTTTAAAAAAAAAATCTGAATTTGACTAGATGATGGCTTTCCCCCAATCCTTTTGTTATTTATTTATTTATTTATTTTTTACTAACTTTGTCCTTTTCTTTTGTAAAAATGTAGGAAGCACTGTTTTGACGGCAATAGAAGTGTCTGGCCATAGCACACGCCTGACCTGTAGATTGAGTCAAGCTTCAACTCAAATTCAGGGTCATCGTTGGCTGAAGGGTGGCAAGGTGTTGAAAGAGGATACATCAGATAGTACGGTCACAGAATATGAGTAAGTTTTTCTTAAAATTAATCTTGTTACAGAAATAGTATTTCTCTATTGTGTTTTTTTCAGATATCACAAGGGCTACAGCAAGATTTTTTTTTTTTATTTTTAATGAATATCTTTAAAACCCTCCAAAATACCTATCCCTAAACCCTCTAAATTCATCATCCATCATATGTACTAAGGTAAGGAGGAATGTGTGACTGGGTGGGAGTTGAGGCTGTTGAGTGAGGAAATGAATTGAGATTGGGAGGCCAGGGAACTAGGGAATTTCTTGGCTTCCAGAAGCACAGTAACACCAGCCCGTCAACCAAATCCATACTTGGAAAAGCCAGTGTTTTGTTTTAACAGATCAGCTTAAGCCACCCTGCCTAGTCTTTTCGAACCTTAAGCAATTTCGGTCAGTTTTTAATAAGCTCCCACTAGGTGCAAGCACTCTTAGACACTGAGGAAGATTCAAGGTTTGACTAGAGTTTCTGCTCTTTAGCTCAGGGGTTCAGGGCCTGAAGACATGAAAAGACATACAAGTTTTATTATATGTGATTATAATAAAACTTCAGCCAGATCATAAACTATATATAGAAAAAGCCCAGAATTCCCTGAGTAGACCACATGAGGAGGATTTTAGAAAGAAGGATTGACATTGATTGACTTGAACAGTGTCCAGTTGAAACAGAGAGATCTGAATGCTGTGCTCCTTGAAAGGAGGTAGCATTCTGTCTTTATAAAGAGCCGGTATGACTTCATCAAGAAAAGGTGGTGCCAGACTGACCTCCATTTCTGTTTTTGCCAAGATCAGAGTAGCATTAATAATTATAATCGTATACTTTTAAGGTTTGCAAAGTGTGGGGGGGGGGGGGTGTGGGTGGGTGTGGATAGAGATAGGTTAAGTGACTTGCCCAAGGTCACATAGCTAGCAAGCATCTGAGCCCAGATTCTATCCATTCCTCTTTCTAGCCACTGTGTAGATCTGAGTTATCTAGGTTTGAACAAAGGCCCTACCAGTCTGTCCAGCTATTCTTGTGGATGGGGTAGAGATGGAAGCTAGACAATAATGTAGTGAAGTAAAATTGGAACTAGTTGAACTGCTGGACCTAAAGAAGAGTCATTAGTAATTGATGTCTGCTTGAGCAACATGGCCCAGGAATCATGACTCTGACTATCAGTGATTTGGATAAAGGTGTAGATGACATGCTTATCAAATTTGTAATGACAAAGCTAGGAGTATGAATGGGGATTCCAAAAGATTGATGGTGGGGGTTCTTTACTTGGGGTCATTGGACCTTTAAGGAGTTTGTAGATAGATTTAAAGTAAATTTAATGGGGGGGGGTGACATGTTTGTTTTCACAAACCTCTAACTGAAATTGAGCATTTTCTTTAGTTATGAATATAAGGAAATGGTTTTACTAGGCTGTCCAAAAAAGGGTTAAGAACTCATGTGGTAGAATTTGGGATTGAATCTAATGAAATGTAATAGGAATTGTTTCAAATCTAGGAAAGAGTTGTTTTTGTCTTTTTGATAGTTGAACACCAGATAAGGTAGATGTGGCTAGACCACGGTTTGTCCAGGAAAAGATCTGGAGGTTTTTAAGTGAACTGACTGCAACTTCAGGGAGTCAGTAGTGTGATAATGGCGATCAAAAAGGCTGTATTTTTAGGCTATGTTGACAGTCATCATATCCCTGACAAGGAAACAAGTGATCTCACTATGTTAAAGACAGACCACCTCTGGAATATTGTGTTCATTCCTGGCAGCCCCATTTTAAGAGGACTTTGGTAAGCTGCAGGAGCAACCGAGATAGTGAAGAGTCTAGAGATCATACCATATGAAGGCTGGTTGAAGGAATTGGGCATATTTAACCTAGAAAAGAAAAAGACTTAGGGTTGACCTGAGAGTTGTTTTCAGGTATTTGGAGGGCTGTGTTACAGCAGAGAGATTAGACTTGTTTGAGCTAGGAACAATGGGGAGAAACTGCCAAGAAGCAAATCAGTTCCAACTATACAAAAGAATGGTTTGCCTTAGGACACAGTGGTTTCACTCTCACCGAGGTCTTCAAGCAAAGGTGGACGAGTCCTTACTGGGGGTGGTATAGAGTACATGCTTGTTCTGATACCAATAGGAGATGGGCTTATGAAGTCCCTTCCATCGGAGATTCTGTGTCCTGGCCCTGCTTCCTATTTTAAAATTGGGACAGAGAATCAATGACTCATTGCTGAAAGTCAGTGTTTACTATGGTAAGCTCCATCGGTATCCTCAGAGGTCATTTGATCCAATTAGCCTTCTGCCTCAGGTAAGGGTCACTTCCATAGGTGATTCTTATCCAGTCTTTGCTAGACTACTTCAGTAGTGGTGAGGTCAGTCTTTCAATAGTCTGTCCTTCCTATTTTATTTGATCTATACCGATCAATTCTCTTTCCCAATGAAGCTCCCCCTTGCATTTGTCCTGATCCTGGTTTCTCTAGTTGTACAGAACGGGTTTTTCCTTTGAGCAACCCTCTGGATGTTTGAAGACCACAGATGTGTTCTCCCAGGTATGCTCATTTCTGTGTTAAGTATGCCTGGTTTCTTTAACTGTTCCTCATAGAATATGGTTGAACATTCCTTCCACATTCCAGCTTCTCTATCGGTATCGTTCTAGAGCTTTACTGTTTTCTAGAGATTTACTTTTAATCACCTGGAGGGATGTGAGCCTCATATGTCCACATGTCTTTTCTAAGATGCTAAGAAATGTGCGGTTTAACACAGCTTGTCATATAGTTAGTCGCCTGCTGAGTGCCCTCTTGCTGTTTCTTTCAGCCGAGGGCCTTGCCTCTTACTTTACTGAGAAAATATAAGCCATTTGCCATGAGTTTCCTCTTTTCTCCTTTTCTCGTAAGCTCTGGATATCATCCCTAACTCTTCACTACATTATCTTATGAGGTCCTCATCTCTTCACTGAGGCAAACCCTTCTTACAAGCACCTTAATCCCTTCCATTTCTGTCTTCTCCAGTAAATTGCCTCCATACCATTGGTTCTCTCTGTAATTTCCACTTTCTCACCATCTGCCCAGGTCTCTTTCATCCTTAAAGAATATCTTTATCTGACTTTCCCATCCCCTTTTGCTGTCATCCTACATCTCTCCTCTTATGTCTGCACTGTGCCTCTGCTTCCTCTTCTAAACCCTCTGCAAATCGAGCTGACCTCCAGCCTCATCACTCGGCTGAACCTCCCTTGTCCAAAGTGACCAGCGAGCTCTTTAATTGCCGAATCTCAGGACCTCTGCAGCGTTTGACGCTCTTGACTGCCCTCTTCCTGGATTCTTCCTCTTCTTTGGGTTTTCGTGATGTTGGTCTCTCTCTATTCTTGTACCTGACTGTTCCCTTTTAGTTCCCTTTTAGGACACAGCAGTACAATGGAAAACACACTGGTTCTGAAGCCAGAGGTCCTGGATTCAGATATCACATTTGACACTTTGTACTCCTGCCTGTGTTACCTTGGGCAAGTCACGGCCTCCTTTGGCCTCAGTTTCCTCACCTGTCCACTGAAGGGTTTAGATGAGATGGCCTCTGAAACCCCTTCTGGCTCCAACTCTGGATCTCAGTTCTTGTGATCTTTGCTGGATTATCATCTGTATCACACTAAGAAGCTTCTGTTCTGAGCCCTCTTCTCTTTTTGCAGTTGACCTTATTAACTCCTGTGGGTTTTAATTATCGTTTCTACACAGATGACTGTTTCCAGCCCTAGTCTCTATTCCGAGTGTCTGTTCCTCATTACCAGCTACCTGTTGGGCAGTTCTTACTGGTTGTCCCATCAGCATCTTGAATTCAACCTATCCCAAACTGAACTGATTATCTTTTCATTGATCCTATCCTATTCTGAACTTCCTGTTTCCCTTGAGGGTACCACCAGTCATCCAGGTTCACAACCTGGGTCTCGTCCCTAACTGCTTTCTCTCACTCGATTCTCAGTGCATATTCATTCAGTTGCCAGATCTTTCTGCCTCCACAGGATCTTTTGCAGTCCCCTTCTCTCCACCTTCATGGCTGCCATCTTAGGTTAGTCACCTTGTACCTGGATTGTTTAAGTTAGCCTTCTAATGAGTCTTCCTGCCTCAAGTCTCCTCTCCCACCCATCCTCCACGTGGTTGCCAAATAACTTTCCTCAAGTGTAGGCCTGCCCATGCCTCTCCCTTGCCCACTAAAATTCAGAGGCTCAGGGGCTCCCTTTTACCTCTAGGAAGAATATAAACTATTTTGTTTGGAATTTAAAGCCTTTTGCAACCTACCTTCCCAGTCTCTTACATCTTATTCCCTTTTATGTGCTCTATGGTCCATCAAACTGGCCTTGCTGTTCTTCATGCTTGTTATTGCATATCCCTCTCTGTGCCTTTGCACTCCTAGTCTCCTCCACTACTTCCTTCTTCCCTCCACCTCTTAGACTTCCTACTCTTGACTTTTCCTAATCTCTTTAGCTGCTAAGGCCCTCACCTTCAAAAATCACATTGTATCAATTTTACATATTTTTATACGTGTGCAGATTGTCTCCCTTGTTAGAGAAAGTTAAACTCATTGAGGTTAAGGACTCTTTCAAAAGTGACAAAAAAGAGAAAAGTGTCTTTGTTTCTCTAATGTTTAGCTTAGTGCTTAGCACAAAGTAGACGCTTAACAAATGGTTATTGATTGATGTAGAAAGGGATTTTGGGTAGGTGGGACAGCCCAAAGAAAGCTTGAAAGCAAATTCTTGAGCTTTAGTTTCTGGTAGTGGAGGAAATTGTAGGAGGTCTCACACCAGAATCCTGCTGTGTTAGTATGGACTTTTGCCATTTGGGGGACTTGTAATATTTTGTCCGTACTACTCTTTGAGGAAATCGGTATTTCCATTTGAATCTCTTATGGTTAACATTCCCAAAAGTGAATAGCTGTTTTGTAGAATGGTGAAAGCTAGGGAATAACTAGCCCATTAAAATAGCATAACAAGCTTCCCTTCTCATTACCGTCAGTTCTAGCTGGTGTTCAGAGCTAAGGCATCATGCCCTTTGTGTAGAGGAGTTGATGGGCCTCATTGCCTCTCCTCCCTCCTCCCATGGCAACAGGGAGGCAAATGAGAATTAAAGTATTTATAACCTGACCTTCTTCCAGTGACCTGACCTCAATTCCTCAGCTGAGTGGCTTTTGGGAAGGGGGCAACATACACATCTGGTAGAATTAATAAACAAATCATTGTGATCACAAAAGATTCAGCCCCCTTTCAGTAAAGGGCCCTGGAATTACAGAATCAGAAGTTTTTTGAAGGTAGCTAGCAAGTACCTTGAGTTCTGTCATGTCAAATGCTATAATAGAAATTATGAGTTTCCCTCGAAATTTAAACGGGAAAGTTTTTGAACAGTCATAGAGAAAAATAACTCTTTAATTCTTCCCTGTCTATAGCAGGTAATGGTAAGAGATTGGTCTTTCATGGAATGAATGAAACAAAGTTTTCTTAGTTTACAGGGCTAGTTAATTAGGTGCATGGCCTATTGGCTTTCCGTCCTGTAGCCCAAGGGAAGTGATTGGAAAGCAGGAGAATAACTGATATTGATATAGCCCTCCAAAGTTGGCAAAACATTTTACATACAGTAATATCCCAGAGGATCTGACAACAACCCTTTGTAGTAGATATTTCTGTTGTGATCTCCATTTTACAGATGAAGAAACTGAGGCTCAGGTCAGCTAGCCTTCTTGCTATTCCCCATATATGACTTTCCATTGCTTCACCAAATGTCTAGCTTCCCTCAAGGCACAGCTTAAGGACTATGTCCTTTTCCTGACACCTTCTCCCCTCCCCCCAAAAAAAATCCACTTTTATTTGGATATATTTGCCTGTACATATAAAATACGCCCCCAAATAGAATATAAAAACCCCTGTGGAGCAAACATTGTTTAATTTTTGTCTTTGTCTTCCCCATGCCTAGCATAGAGTTGGTGAATATCAGAGGCAGGATTTTAAAAGGTCTCTGTTACTCCCAGGCTAGTGCTTTACTGCAGTACTCAAAAGGCAAGGAGTATTGGTGTTCAGTGTATATTATACGGTACACATTTCTACTGTGATAGAAATCTACAGCCTTAGCATGCTGACCCTCTAAGGGATGTTAGAGATTATCTGGTCGAGCTATTGCCTTTTACAGATGAAAACACTAAGGTGTGGACTTCCCCGGGGGATACGGCTAGCTGGTGGCAGACCTGGGATAGAGCTCCACATCTTTTGGCCTTTGCTGTGTTGTTTTCCTTACTTCATATGACTGAGTTTCTTTAGTCTACTGTCTGGATGGGAGGGAAACATGTTCTCAGAAGTACCAGGTTTTTCTGCAAGCAAGGGGATTAAGAGCAACCTAGAATCCTGAACTGTTTGAAATCCTTGAGAAGTGAGGGCATCTTCTAGACCTTCCTGGAGGTTTCTTAATTAGTACAGGAGAGCCTCATAACTGGGTGATATTTTTGGCTTATAATTTGCTTTCTTTTTAGAGTTCCACATAGATTCAACTTTTTTGGTCCTTTAAAAAATGGGGGAATTTGTATCAATTTTAATACTCGGGAACAGTACTGACCAGCTAAACTCTCAATGTCTGTGTCCTTAGAGTTCCACTGTAATTGACTATGGCTGTCTGGTTTTTTGTTTTTCTTGTTGTTTTTACCCTCTTTACCTTATACCTGTTTCTTCTTTCAGGGTTTTGTCAGATGATAAATCTGGGGAGTATCAGTGCGTTTTTCTTCCAGAACTTGCAGGAAAGGCTGATGTCCAAGTAAAAGGTAACATCTGTCAATGGACCATAGCCCGAAGAAAGTAACCATATATGTAAATTTTAATTAACTAAATGTTTATTTATTGGTGATTAAGGGATTGAGAGAATCTTGAAGAAGTCATTAGGGAGCCTATGAGAATGTAATAAATATGATTCTTGAAAGTTATTTCTTCAGAGAATGTTTCAAGTGGATAAATACTGGTATCCTGATGTTTGTAGGGTCCATACTCAATGCCCTTTTGGGTAATCCTTGAGTGTGTGTGTAGCCTTCAGAAAGGCTAGTTCAGCCCACCGGGGCCCACTTTTACACTGAACCTAAGGCTTCCTAGACCTGATACCAAGAAAATAAAGTCAGACCCTCAGAAGACATCAGGAAGACCCTCTGTGAAAATTTGTGCAAACTAGAAAAAAATTTGGAGAATTTTAGAAAAATCATTATGTGCAATGGTGAACATTTCTTGTAGAAAACTGAGTAGGAACTCAAGCTTTTTTCTTTTTCTTAGTAAATAAAAGTATTTTAGAAATAAAGGGCCTGGGGCAGCTAGGTGATGCAGTAGATAGAGCACCGGCCCTGGAGTCAGGAGGACCTGAGTTCAAATCCAACCTCAGATACCTGACACTCACTATCTGTGTGACTCTGGGCGAATCACTTAACCCCAATTGCCTCATCAAAAAAAAAGAAAAAAGAAATAAAAGGATTTATTGTTGGCCATATTAAACTAAAGTAAGTTTGTCTTGTGTATGCTTTTCTACAGGAGGGAATTCTGTAGGAACTGGTTTGCAGATGTTGAAGTTAACTTAGCTAGGTCCAGTAGCGTTCTTTCTTTAGCAGGTAGAAAAACTGACAAGATGTTGTAAGACAATTACACATATAGAGCAATGTGTAAAGCCCTTCTTGATTGAAGAGCTGATTTCTGTAAAGTAAATTCTATTTTCCCATTTATTTTAATTCTGTCAAATATGTTTTTACAAAACCATTAACAGGAAAGGGATTAAGTCTGGCATTTTTGGTATTGTGTATTACAAGTACATTTGCCATTCTGTTATACTATTTTACCTATATAACCTTGTAAAGAACAGAATTATCTTTTGTGAGATTCAAGTGCCATCAGCAGAGAGGTAATTGAAGCCATGGGAGTAAATAAAATTGCCAAGGTAAAAAGTATAAGGAAAAATGGCCAAGGACAAACCCTTAGGGAAACCCCACATTAAAGGTTTGGGAGGAACCAAGGAGAAGTGATCAGAGAAGGAAGCAAGAACCAGGAAATGTGGTCTTTGGTGCTGAGAGAGGAGAGTCTTTCCAGTAGGAGAAGGCAGTCAGCTCTTCTAAAAAAAGAGAATAAGGATGAAGAAAATTGTGATTTTAGTGTAGTTGTAGAATGATGGAGGCAGAAACTCAATGTAAGGTCCCTTCCAACACTACATCTAAGATCTGAGGGACAATTTTGGTAAAGAATTAAGGAGAGATTAGGTAATGAGGAAATAGAGCCTTTTGGTCTAGAAAACTTTTCCAAATTTAGCGGTAAAAGGAGAAGAGATGTCAAATGGACAGGTTAGGAAAGGTGGAGGTAGGAACCAAAAATTTTGGTAGTTGGGAAGAAATTAATGGCAGAAAGATTAAAAGTACATTCACCTACTCTAGTAAAACCCAAAAATTTCGCCAGACTACATAATTGTCAAGAATTTCAATGAAAAAACTTAGTGAATTCTTCTACCTTGGAACTATATAAAGTCAGCCAAAAGCCCTGGACTATAGGAAAGAGAGTTTCCAGAAAAACTACCACTAGTACAGGCAAACAAAAATATGTGTATCCTGCCTGGCTGTGTCCACAAGTAAAAGGACAGAGGACTCTCCCTTCCTACAGAAGCCCTTCAGAGGTCAGCTACTGAGAGTGGCAGTGATCAGTACAGTCACTGTAGCACTCAGAACTGGGACTCCCTGAACCTCAAAGGTCAATTAAGGGCCCAGTCCCAGGAGGTGGAGTTAATTCAGTAACTTGGGTGACAGTTCTAAGTAGGCCTGAGCAACTCACCCAAAAGTACATCAAGAAGCTCAGCCTGACCCTGGCACAAAGCTCAATTCAGGAATGAAGGCTGGAGATAAGCATAAACACAACAAGATATTGGCCATTCTAAAGAATTATAATAGATCCAGAGATACCCCAAAATCTAACCTAGAAGGAAAGAACTTCCCAACAACCTTAAGCAGTGATTCAAAGGAAAAAGAAATTCCCCCCAGGACTACATGAATACTTAGAAGAAATGAGGCAAAAGTTTTAAAAAATAAAAGCTCTGGAGGAAAGAATTAGAAATAGAGCAAATAGCTTAGAACAGAAAATAGTAAATCTTACCCGAGTGACACTTCCAGAAATCATGACTTTTGTGAGATAGTGAGAAATACTAGAACAAATCAAAAGACTAAAACAGTAGGAGAAAATGTGAGATAGCTAATATAAAAAACATCTGACCTGGAAAATAAATCTACAGATAACTTGAGAATCTCTCGATTTACTTAAAAATTCTTTTTAATGCCTGGATACTGTATTTCAAGAAATCATAAACTGAAAATTACTCCGATCTATTAGAGTCAGAGAGCAAGCTAGTCACCTCCTAAAAGAAATTCTAAAACGAAAAGTCCTAGGAATGTCATAGCAAAATCTGGAGTTTCCACATTTAAGAAAAAATACTGCAAACAACTCTAAAGAATTCAAGTACAGTATCAAGGAACTGCAGTCGGTCTCACATCTTGGAATACAAAGTTTCTAAAGGTGGCAAAAGATACAGGCTTACAACCAAGAATAATTTACACGGCCGAGAATCCTACAGGGAGAAAAAACCTTTTACTACTTCATTAAAAGCCATTTAAAGAATTTTTTAATTAAATTTTTAAAAATTTAATGCTTTGGGGGCATTCCTGATGAAAAGAACAGAGCTGACTACTAAGTCTGAAATGGAGATACATGACTTAAGAGAAACCTAGAAAGGTGCATTTATTTGAGCGGGAGCTGTATGAAAGAGAGAAGAAACAACTCTTTCTTTAGAAACCTGTATTGGTTTTTTTTTGTTTTGTTTTGTTTTGTTTTGGTTAGGCAATGGGGTTAAGTGACTTGCCCAGGGTCACACAGCTAGTAAGTGTTATGTGTCTGAGGCCGGATTTGAACTCAGGTCCTCCTGAATCCAGGGCCGGTGCTCTATCCACTGGGCCACCTAGCCACCCCCACAACCTGTATTGTTTTTAAAGGGCATTGATGGAGTTAAATAAAATAGAGGGCCTGGGACTGGATTGATTCTGTTCTGAAAGTTTTAAGATGGGAGGAAAAGGAGTATACCGATTGTAGAAAGGAGGCAAAAGTGGGTGTGTGAAGAGCAAACAAACATGGAGGGTGGGGGGTAAAGGGAAGGTGATGGATCTTTTTGTTTGTCTGTTTTGGCTAGGCAATGGGTTTAAGTGACTTGCCCAGGGTCACACAGCTAGTAAATGTCAAGTGTCTGAGGCCAGATTTGACTTCAGGACTTCCTGACTTCAGGGCAGGTGCTGTATCCTTTTAAAAGACTATAATGAACACTGATTTCATATACAATCCTTGTTGTGATCTGTTTTGTATATGGCAGTGTTCATTATTTAATGTTAAGTTCAAGTAAGTGTGTGTGAGAGAGAGAGTGAGTGTGTGTGTGTGTGTGTGTGTGTGTGTGTGTGTGTGTGTAATGGTTGGACAATTGCTAGACCAAGGTCCTGGAGGAATCAAGGGAATGGAATTGAGCACAGGTCTCTACAGTTAGTCTAGGTGAGTTGTAGAGATAACTATCTACCTCTCTATATGAGTGTGTGGAGACAGTGTTGGGATTGTTGGCAAAAAAGAGAAGAAGTCTTGGGAAAGCTGCTATCCAGAATTAGGAGTAGAGTGGAACTGAATAGCAGTGAGTGCCCAGCCAAGGTTACATACCAAGAATTTGATTAAACTCAATTGATATTCCGCTCATGTTCAACAGCCATATAATAGAACTAGAAAAATCTGTTGGGGATTACTCTTGTGATTAGAAAGCCAATTAACGGAAAGCAAAAAGGATTCCCCTATCAGGATTGCTGAAAGGTCAGTGTAGCAAAGGATTCTAGGGTAGTGACTAGTGAGTCATTACAGTGGCAGACCATGTGGTCACAGCTGGACATGGAAACAAGTGAAGCCAGAACAGAGGAGCGGGATAAGAAAATACGGAATGAAACGTCATGATGAGGGTGGAGTGTGAGAGGTAGCAGTGGTGGGAGACAATATTGGAGCAGTTAACAAGCGTCGAGCCCTTACTTTGTGCGTTGAATCTTGGAAGGGGTGTAGTCCTGAGAGATGGTGAGGTCCAAAGTGTGCCCACATCTGTGTGATGTAGAAGTAGAGGGAAATGGCTCATTGGGGCAGGAGAAGTGACAGCGGGTTTCTGGAGGGGCTGTTGGCATGATTATTGAAATGCCCAGGGGTGAAGGGAGAGAGACAGAAATAGTGTGCCACTGAATTAATTTAAAAGTTACCTGGAAATTAGTAGATGCACAGCAACAAGGTTGATATGATGATACGGTGGTACAAATGCAGTAAATGGACCTTGAAAGAGGAAAGGCGTTTCTGTTGTTAGAGAAGTGATTTGGGAAGGTAGGAAGGAGCAAGGCATCTCGACTGCCTGCCCCTCCTGTCCCTGTGAGTTGAGGATGTAAATAGTGAGTGTTTGGCAACAGGGAGGAGGCATCTTCTGAGCAGAACCAGGCTGCTCTGTTGACTTGAGGCAGTGGGAGGAATGTTGGTTGAAAAGTTTGAGCATGTACCAAGGAATAATATACCCAAAGAGATTAGAGAGCCCTGAGAAGGAAGCCAGTTAATGGGAAAGCAATGGATGTGTACAGGGACCAAAACGCTCGCTGAGCAGCAATGAAAAGCTGGTCAAATGCTATGGACGATGTTGGCATCAAACTTGGGCAGTTAAAGCGTGTGGTCTTCTTCATGGTTTTGTGTGACTGTTCAGGGAATGCCCTTGAGGGTGAGGGGCTGTCATTTTGAGTTCTAGAGCATCTCTCATAGCAGCACGATATGTTTATCAGGAAAAAACTAAAGTTTGAAGTTGCAAAGCAATTTTTGTCAAGCAGACTAATTCCAAAGCAACAGTGAAATGGGCACAGTGATCACTGAAGCGGGTGGTGGTGGGCTGGATGGGAGTTGGAGTGAACGTGTAGGTGTGCAAGGGTTCGGGAGCAGGGAGGATGGATTGCATCCACCTGTCCTGAGGCGGGAGGAACCTGCACACTCCCTCATTTGAACTTGGTTGCTGGAGGAGCTCTACTATTAATTTGATACAGAATCTGAGAGGGAATTCTGAAACTAGGTCACTTAGCTTCTGGCAGAGCTGGGAGGAGACGTAGATGTCCTGCCTCTAGGGTGTTGAGAGGCTGCTGACACATTTGGAGGCCCGGGTTTGGGCACTGAATAATTGTATTTTTAATCTCACACTTTCCCCTCCTTTTAGGTCCCCCAAAGATTTTGATTAACAAGAAGTCAGAACATGGGAATGAGGGAGACACTATAATGCTTACGTGTAAGAGTCACTCATATCCCTCTATCCAACAGTGGAATTGGTACAAACAATATGAGCCTGGAAATACTATAGTAAGTATCACACTGGGTATCTGGGAACTACTTATAATCTCGGGGCTTTGCAGTCTACAAAGGCCTTCCATGTAGTCGGGGCAGGTATTAGAATCACAGATTTCTCTCCATTTTACCAATGAGAGAGCAGAGGATCAGGTCACATAGCTAGTTAGTGTAGGTGGGGTTAGAAGAGCGTAGATTAAGATTTGGAAAGGACCGAAGAGGTCTTCTCTTATCTCTCATGTTTCTGGGAAGGAGTCTATGGCCCAGAAAAGCTGCAACTTGCCCAGAATCTCATAGGTGGAAAGTAAGTGGCAGAGCCAAAATTGGAAGCCAGGTTCTGTGATTTCAGAACTCTGACTTCTCTTTCTGTTGTTCCATGATGCCTTTTGGGAATGCTGGTCTCTAAGTCACCGTTCTTTCTTTGATGATGACTCCTCCTTCTTTACAGAGCCTTGTGAATGGTACTGATGAGAGGTACTACATAACATCGACCCCTGAAAAAACCGAGCTGCAGATTCAAACCGCAGATTTGGAGAAGGATCCTGGAACATACATCTGCAATGCCACCAACTCTGAGGGCTCCGATTCTGCTGCCATCACCCTGAAGGTCCGCAGCCGTCTGGCTGCTCTCTGGCCCTTCCTGGGCATTGTGGCAGAGGTGCTGGTCCTGGTCACCATCATCTTCATCTATGAGAAGAGGAGGAAGCCGGATGATTTATCAGAAGGTGAGGGGCTTCTTTATTCGGTGTACAAGCTGGGAAGAGAAGGGCAAGGGAATAATTGGTAGAGTACTTAATCAGGCTTCCACACAGAACGCCATACTCTAGACCAGCAGCTTCCATAAACAAGATGAAGTCTTGAGTCTTTTCAAAGGTTTCTTCTCCAGAACAATTCAGCAGCTACGTGTTGAATGACTTCTCATTCTGGATGCTGTAATAGATGCAGAGATGAATAGAAATATAGATATAGATCTGTCTTACTGTCTATTCATAGTGGGCACTTGAAAGAAAAATCTCATCTTCACGGAGCTTGGACAGTGGGGAGCAATGGAAGTGCAGACAGACAGCAGTGGATGTGCGGTTTGGGAGATGTAGTGGAAAGATCAGCAGCTAGGCAGTCAGGAGAGGGGACCTAAGTTCTCATTCACTGAGTGACTGGACATAACCCTTTTTCTCTCTGGCTCTCATTTTCCCCACCTGTAAAATTAGATGCTCTCTAAAGCTCCTTCTGGTTTAGACATTCAGTGTTTTATGTGTTCAGTTCCCTTCTAGCTCTAACATGCTATGGTTTTGCTAAGTACCAGTACTCAGCATGTGATTTTTAAGCTGCCCTTTAAATTCTGTCCTTGAATTTTCTTTGCTGAAAGCTTGTGCATGTATTTTTAAAAGTGTTTGTCCCCAAGCTTCTGCAAAATATTTTCACTGCTGGTCCCTGTTCTTTCATCCTCGTTATATTTCATAGCCCTGGGGCTTATGCATGACCCAAGCCAAATACTCCCAGGCCCTCCTTTGGCAAACAGTAGTCTGTTGAAAAGAACTTTGGACAAAAGGTTACAAGTCTGACTTTGTGAATTTGGGTAAGTCAGTCATCCTCTCTGACTCAGTTCCTTTGTTGTCAGTTGGAGATCTGGTGCCTCAGTGAGGAGTGAGAAATCCCAGGTTCCTTCCCTCTCCTTATAGGACGGGCCCAAATTGTAGCAGAAAAGGATTATGTTAGATCTGAAAGAGGAATTGGCCTCATTTCCTCATAACCTGAAGAGGAACTTGATTTCTTTCTTTTTTTTTTTTTAAGGTTACTATACTGACATATCAGGGAAATGTAAAAGATGCTGAATATATAGATTTTAGTGAAACTTCTAACAAAGCCTCTCATATCCTTCTGGTCAAAGGTGGGACCTCATGAGTAGGATGATGACAATACATGGGTGTATTTATAGCTTTTTAAATATCCAGACATGCAGTCGTCTCTAGCATGCTTCAGGGCTTTCTCTTTAGATCTATTTTGTTTTTTGATTTTAGTTTTGAGGGGTTTTTTGTTTTTTCATTTTTCTTTTTTTTCTTTTTTTTCCTTTTCTTTTTTCTTTTTTTTTGTGAAGGAATTGGGGTTAAGTGACTTGCCGAAAGTCACACCGCTAGTAAGTGTTGTGTCTGAGGCTGAATTTGAACTCACATCCTCCTGACTCCAAGGCTGGAGCTCTATCCACTGCGCTACCTAGCTGCCCCCATTTCCACATTTTATGACATAGTTCAGGCCTTCATCAAATTTCACCTGAAATATTTCAATAGCCTTCTAATTTGTCTCCTCTGTAATAGTTAAATTTAAGATAAACTGAGGAACAAAATTCCAAGCATGATGATTTATTAGTAAAGCATGAATTTACCAATAGGATCTCAGCCTCTTTAGCAAAAGCTAAGACCCCAGCTGGAAGGGATGGCTCCCTTTTATAGTTTTTGGGGAATATAAAACAAATAACAGGACTATGTAGGTGAGGAACAAGTTATGATTAGTTGCCAGAGCTCTACATCATGAATGAAATCAGTATGACTGGTTATAGAGCTGAACTGTGGGGACAATACGATTGGTAGGAAATTAGGAATGAGGGGTTATCAACAAACCCTGCCTTAGTTTTAGGGGATTTTTTTGCTTGTTTTTTTTTTTTGTTTTCTTTTTTTTTTGTTTTGTATTTTTTTGTTTGGTTGGTTTTTGGGTTTTTTTTGTTTGTTTGTTTGTTTGTTTGTTTTTGGTGAGGGAATTGGGGGTAAGTGACTTGCCCAAAGTCACACAGCTAGTGAGTGTTATGTGTCTGAGGCCGGATTTGAACTCAGGGCCTCCTGATTCCAGGGCCAATGCTTTATTCACTGAGCCACCTAGCCGCCTCTCGATCTATTATATTCAGCATTTTTATCATTACAAGACTTTGGAATTTTAGTAAAGGTATGAGCTCAGTACAAATCAACAGTGTTACATAGCCACTAAAAATGCTGAGAGAAGGGTGCTGTTTGAGGCACGAGGGACATGCTATAGCCTCTCCACCTTCTGCACTAATCAGACAGCACCCAGAGGATTTCAGCTTGGGCAGCTTCTTTTCAAAGAAACATGAACAAGGAAGAAAAGTAGGTCCGGAAAAAGGTGACTAAGATAGGGGAGATACAAATGAAGGCCAGATAAGGAACATGGGAAGAAAAGAAAGGAGCTAAGTGGGAAGGTGATTGTTGTCTTCAAGTGTCTAAAGGATTGTCAGGCAAGAGACTTGTTCTAATTCAGAACGAGGACTCAGGAGGTGGGAGTTAAATTCGGGCCCAGTATCCCTCTGACATTAGATGCCCCTCCCTCTTCTGGATTGGCTCAGTAGAGTGGGTTACCTTTAACTGGAAATATTTCAAGGAGGGACTAGATGACTTCTTGCAATGTTGTTGTGAAAGGAGATTCTATCAGGTAAGAATTGGACCTGGGTTACCTTTGGGTCCCTTTGATCTTGAAGATTCTGCTGTTCAGGACATCCCCACATGTGAATGACAAAATCCCCTTCCTTGGGGAGGTCTGAGCATTCAGGCTCTTCAGCCTCCTTCCCACTTACACGTTTTGTTGGAGGGGGAGGAAAAGGGAGGGCCTGTCTCTCCCTTCTGGACCATCTAGGTGGTTTTTTTTTTTGAGGGGGGGGCAGGTGTTAATTTTTTCTTCAGCTGAATAAATGAAGGTACTTTTCATTTAGCTGAGAAAAATCTGTTAGGCTAGGGATGCGAGATTTTCTCGAGGAGTTCCAACTTTTTCATTGGCAGATTTCTACCTCCTGTTAAGTGATGGAGATGGCTCTGGAGGGGCTATTCCTAGTTGGAAGAACATAAGACTCAAAAGGGCATTCCCCTGTTCCTGCATTGCTTGGTGGGTAACAGCACCTGTTCTTAAACTAGCTGTTTCTAGTTCTGTGGAGTTTGTTGTCAGAGGTCAGTAGAAGACCAGCAGTCCAGGTCAGAGTGACGACTGCTTCACTTTTCATTTGTTTTTTCCTCCTTGCTTCTGCTGCTAGCTGAACCCCCACGTGGTAAGTGAATGGCACCTCCAGTTGTCATTCCGGCTTCAGCCGTCACATCAGCTGTTTGAGTCACTAAGCATGAACTCTTTGACTTTTTGCATGACTTTACCCCCCCTGCTGGGAGCTTTCACTTAACTCTCAGGAAACCTGAGCCAAGACAGCAACTCCCAGGCTGCACTGTGCCTGCTTGAAGCATGAATGCCATGGGCATCCTGTCCTTCACACTTTCCTTGTCTGCATGTATCCAATATTAACTGAAAGCTATCAGCACACTTTGGGGTGGTGGTATGAGCAGAGAATTGGTTGCCTCTCACAGATGTCTACAATTCGAACTCTTATTCTTCCCCTTTCTTACTCATTGGATGATTTTCAGATCTCAGTGACTAGCATACCCAAGAGTCACTAAACGACTTGTGTGTCCACTCTGGCCTCCAGAAGGTGTTGGGCATCCTGTCCTGTCGGAGTGCATGACATCGTGGAGACTATGTTTGTATTGTGCCCTTGGGACCTTGTGTGTTTGTCTGTCTTCTCTAAAAAATAGAGAAGCTAATCTTTTACCCTCCCTCTGTCAGAGGGAGCTTATGAGCTTAAAAATGAGTTACATTCAGAAACATTTTGGAAGGACCTTAGAGATTGTCTAGTCCAACTCCTCCATTTTTTCCATGGGATTTAGACCTAAAAAATCCCAGATTTTTATGAAGGAAAATGAGACCAGATAAGGGAATTGATTTGTCCAAGGTCACATAATATGCTGGTGTTAAAGTCAGTTTCTCACGGTGAGGTCGTCATTCAGAACCTTTAAGAAGCTAGTGGCATGGGGTGCCCTTGTAAGGCAACACGCTGTAGCCCCCTTACCTCAGTAGCTTCCAGGACCTTGTGGCCGCTTTTTCAAACATAAATTCATCCCAGGGGGGTGGGGCTCACATACACATTAGACCGGACCAGGAATGCGAAAACCTGCCTCCTAGTGGGAGCCCCTCTTCTGGTTCCCTTTATAACCACAGTGAGTTACTTCCCTTTATGGGCTTCAGATTTCCTTGTGTGTGAAATGAGAGGATTGGACTCAATGATCTCTAAGGTACTTTTCCACCCAGATTCTTTTATAACTGAGGTATGTTCTCTTGGGCAAGCTTGTGTCATTTACTAGGAGCTAGGAAAATGAAGATACAGGGGAGAACTGATCAGTAGTAGGAATAGCACAGTCGTGGACTAATTCTAACACTTTTCATTTTTCTCTCCTCTTGGTTACCCCTTGCTTGAGAAGATGAGGATGGCGGCTCTGCACCACTGTAAGTACGGGTTGGTCATAGTAGAAATGGGCAGGAGCCACTTTTTAGGGTTTGGGGGCCAGGCCTGTGAAAATAGTGCAGAAGAGAACTGAGAATGCCATAACTAGTAAGAAGTGAATGCTGTTCCTGTCGGGTAATTTTCGGGTGCTACTTACGAGGTGAGACACCTTATTCAGTGACCCCTTCTCCATCTTGACTCACATAGTTTTGGTGCCTCTTTTTAGTACATTTTAGATTCACCCATTTGAGTCAGCTGGCATTTTTTAAGTTCTTATTGTATGCTAGGCGTCGTGCTAAGCACTGGGATACAAAGAAAGGCAAGACGCAGTCCCTGTCCTCAAGGAGCTTCCAGTCTAATGGGAAGACAACATGGAGATACATTCTGGATAAACTGGGGTAGTCTTAATGGGAAGGCACTGAGATTAAGCAGTACTGGGAAAGACTTCTTGCAGAAGGCGGGCCTTTGGCTGAGACTTGAAGGAAGTGGGGGAGGCCAAGATGAGGAGGAAGAGAAATGATAGGGAAAATGCTTGGAGTCAGGAGATAGAGCATTATGTTTGAAGAACCCAAGGAAGCCAATGTCATTGGATCAAAGAGTACGGTGGGGGTGGGGGTGGGGGTCAGGGGGGATAAAGTATAAGGAAACTAGAAAGGTAGGAAGAGGCCAAACAGGATTCCATCCTTGGTCTTGAGGTAATAGGGAGTTTAGAATGGAGTGGGAGGGAGGAAGGATATGCGTAAACGTGTACTTTTGGATGATCTTTTTGACAGCTAAGTTGAAGGTGGATTAGGGGTGGGAAGAGACTTGAGACAGGGAGGCCAGCCAGCAGGCTATTGCAGAATCTAGGCATGAGGTGATGAGCGCTCATACCAGAGTGACTGTGTTGCAGGAAGACAGAAGGGGGCCTGTTCGAGCAGCATGGCAAGGATAGAAACAACAGGACTTCTCGACTGATTGGATGGGAGGGGTCGAGACAGAATATCCAGAGATGCCGCCCAGGTTGCATGCCTTGGGTGACTAGAAGAGTGTGGTGTCCTTGACCGGGATTGGGAGGCTAGGGAGAATGTATGAATCCACCCTTGAGCAAGTTTAATAGGTCTGTGAGATGTCCAGTAGGCATCTGAATGTGGGACTGAAAGTTAGGAGAGAAGTTAGGGCTGGACAAATAGATCTGACAGTCATCTTGCTTTGCAATGATCATTGACTCCATGGGAGCTGCTGAGACCACCAAGTGAATAGAGAAGAGGGCTCAGGACAAAGCACACGGTTAGCAGGCTGGAGGAGAATCCAGCAAAGGAGACTGAGCTTTGGTCAGACTGGGAGAAGGAGAACCAGGAGAGAACCTAGAGAGGAGAGAATGGGAAGGAGAAGAGGGTGATGGATGGTGTCAAAGGCTGCAGAGAGGTCAGGAAGGCTGAGGGCTGAGGAAACACCAACAGACTGGGTAATTACCAGTCATTAGGAACTTTGGAGAGAGCAGTTTTGGTGGAATGTTTTGGTTGGAAACCAGATATTAAAGATTTAAAAAGAGAGTAAAAGGAAAGAAGTGGAGGCCCTGATGCTAGACAGCCTTCTCAAGGAGTTTAGCCACAAAAGGGGGCAGAGATATAGGCCAGTAGATAATTGGCTTTCTGCCCAGGCTTCCTGTTTTCCAAGTATGCCAAGAGGTTCTCTTCTTCTATCTTCCTAGGAAAAGTGCTGTGTCTTCAAATGACAAAGATAGACAGAACGTTCGTCAGAGAAATGGCAACTGAGCAAAGGTGAGGCTCTTCCTTCTTTTCCTTCTTAATAAGCTTAGAGTAGTGGAAGGGCGTTGATTGGAAAGCCTGCCAAGTCAACTTGTCATCTCCACTGGCATCCACCTTCTCATAAAGACAAGATCACTCTCTACTGGGATATTGAAAGTGTCCTTAAAAACCCAACTCGGCACCCACAATTTCAGATTCATTAAGGCTTAGAACAAAAAAATGACCATGGAGAACATCTGGTCAGATCCCCTTGTTTTATAGATGGGCAAACAGATCTGTCATGTAATGGAAAGGGACCTTGTTGTTTGCTGCCTTGAGCTGGCCCTGGCACAGCTGCTGCCTTGGAGTAACCTGGGGGCAAATCGATTTATCTGTTTGGGCCTCAACCCGCTCCAGCGAGAGGCTTGGACTAGAAGGATCTCTAGAGAATCTTCCTCTGGGCAAGTCACTTAACCCCATTGCCTAGCAAAAAAAGAAAAAACAGACAAAAAAAGGTGGGCAGCGAAGTGACACAGTGGGTAGAGCCACCGGTCTTGGAGTCAGGAGGACCTGAGTTCAAATCCAGCTTCAGACACATAACACTCACTAGCTATGTGACCCTAGGCAAAGTCACTTAACCCCATTGCCTAACAAAAAAACAAAAACAAAGAATCTTCCTGTACTCAGGGTAGCTGGGTGGCACAGTGGGTAGAGCACCGGGCCTGGAGTCAAGAGGACCTGAGTTCAAATCCGGCCTCAGACCCGACACTTGACACTTACTAGCTGTGTGACCCTCAGCAAATCACTTAACCCCAGTTCCCTCACCAAAAAAAAAAAAAAAAAAAGAATCTTCCTACTTTCAAAAAAAGGGCTATGATTCTAAACTGTGCCCCTTGGGTCGTGTTATTTTGGAATGTTTTCCCCGTTTCTTCCATAAGTTTATAATCTTCAGTCATCTTCAGTGAATGACTTTGGGCGAGTAAGTACCTTCCCTGTCTGTAATAAGGAGTGAGCTTAAACACCCTAAGATCTTCCTGCCTGACATTGTGATCTGAACACACTCACAATAAATAATAAAGCAAATACAAATAGGTTTTTATTATGGTCTGGCTTGGCACAGGTGTTTCCTACTTTTTCTAATTCCCCAGTATATTTTGAAATTTAGCTTTGCTCCAGTAGATAACTGAGAAGCTTAAAATAAAAGTATTGGTTTAGTTCAGAGATATCAATCTAATTTTGTTCTGGTTTGGGTGTCCAGCTTGAGCTGGTCTCTTAGGTCAGATTGGGATAGGGACAGGACCTTTGGTTTCATCAGTATAGGGAACTCCCAAGTGAGGAAGTTCCCTCTACACCTTTTGAGTCTTCTGTGCCCAGAGCACTGAGAGGTAATGGCACTTGAACCCAGGTCTTCTTTGGCTTCGAGGCCAGCTCTCTATGCTGTACCATGCTGCCTCCCACAAGCTGGCTCTAAAGAGAAGGGGAGGGGGACAAAGAGGGGGAGAGAGCTTGAGGAGTTAGTAGGATTTATTTCAGCTTTTGGTTCCCATGTGAGTTTGGTTTCATTCATCATAAATTAGGGATCGAGTTTAGCTTTGCTCAAAGATTCCTTAAAGTAAAAAGTCAGTACATATGATCTAAATAACAGTGTCGATTGCTCACAAATAGGCACGTGTCTGTTGTGTAAAATGTAGGAATTTTTTGTGAATAGAAATAATTGCTTACAAATAGAGAGTGCTTTTTACATGTCATTTGTGTCTTACAAACACCTCATTGACATGTCACAATATTCTCCTTTTACTGATAAGGAAACTGAGGCCCTGAGAAAGATTCTCATGAGATTGCATTGGTTATATATGACATGATCCCAAGCCATCTGACTAGTGCTCTTTCCATTACACGAGGCCATTGTGAGAGCTGAGTAAAAAATATGAGTTGTGTCCTAGAATATAAGGAATAATTGGGGGAAAAAATTATCTCTTGGAATCAGGAGACCTGGGTTCCAGTCTTTGCTCTACCACTAACTTGACAGATGACCTTGAGTAAGTCACTATACTTCTGAACCACAGTTTTCTCCTTTATAAAATAAAGTTGGAGGTTGGGAGGACTCTTAACATTATTGTCCTTGATGGTATAGCTAGTAAATAGGGCTCATTTTCATCAGAAGTTTCAACTGATGGATTTGTATCTCTTCATTTTTCCCTTATTCCACTTATTCCTCACAGTTTCAGAGGATCAGCAGTGAAAAGATGGGGGTGTAAAGTAAGAGTAGCCAGAAACTAACCAGTTAATCAGAACTTTATAAATGGAAAAAACCAGAAAATTCTCTTCATTGTTTTCTCCCCTAGGTGACTTCTGATGAACACTTCGCCTGGATGGATGTGTTTGTGTGTGTGTGTGTTTGTGTGTGTGTGTTTCTTTGCAATGTAGCATGGAGTATATTCCTAATGTACCTTGCAAAATCCAAGCTGTCTTCACCAAATTATAGCAAACTATGTTTTAAATTCAAGTACTTTTTAAAATTGTTGGAGGGTGGTGTTTTTTTATGTTTTTGGTTTTTTGCTTTTTATTTTTTTTTTCCCCCTTACATGTAAATTTTTGTCCTTTGGCCACCAGTCAGTCTGATCTCTGGCATCAGTCCCTGGGGATGTGGGGTAATAGATATCACGGTCTGCGTGCCTGTCCTCTTCTGGATTTCTCTACCCTTGTTCTGGGCAATGAGTCACAGAATTGGGGAGAGTGTTCTTTTGGCAGGAAGGGTCCTTTCTTTTTTTAGAGGCCCAGCTGCCAATAAAGGAGAAGATGCCATAGCGGCTAGCCACGTTTTCTAAAGGGGTAGAGTGTGTGATATTGTGTCTTAGAGGAGGACCATCCAGTCGGGCAGAACATAATCTGCTTCTGCCCAACTAATCAAAAGAGGTGGCTTTAAAAAATGGATCCTGCTAAAAACCTGCCTGTCTGAAGCAATTGCTGTCTTGTCTTTTTAAAGAAAAACCAATTACTTGCCTTTTTTGGGAGATGTTCAAATGACCTTTTCTGTGTGATATGATCTGACCTCAGTGGTTAAGAATAAGTGATGGGCAAGCAGCTACAAAGGCCCCTCTCGTATTCCCTGAATGTCCTTGCTGGCCGCTTGCCCACGCCCTGAACAGTCCCTTGCTCCTTTGGTTCGCAGTGTAACATTTGATATCCCTGCAGGGAAACCCACACCACCTGCTTCACAGAGATTTGAGTGTTATGTTAATCTCCACGTTCCAAGCTTGCCATTCATGGCCTTCTCTTCCAAAATGCTACCTTCCAGCTAGACCATGTGAAAAGCGGAATCTGAAATCTAAGGGCAAGGGTGATTGTGGTAATAACTTATTGTGCAGACTTACTTAGTATCGTTATAATATCATTGGCACAGTGGAGCCAGCCACACGGGACTATTGTGTTTTGATAGACTAGACATGCGTATGACTTCGTTATGTTTATGTGCACATGACAGGAAACAGTAAAACCTATTCCACTTGAAATGTTGGCTCCTTATCCCCATCTGCCCTAGGAACCTGTGAGTGCATAATACATGTGTAGTCTCTGCTGATTGCCAGTGTTCCCCTAGTATTTTGAGGCACCCCTGCCTGTTAACATTTCATCAATAAAGACATCTTTTTCCATTTTCCAGTTTGGTGTTCTGTGTAATCCTAATTGTGTAAGTTTCCATATAGTCTGATTTAATTTGCTGGACATTTTTTTTATAATGAATATTTCTCTTTATTTGTAAACAATGCATAGAATAAAATAGATGCAAGATACTAATTAAGTGGATTGGCATGGTCATAGCTAGCAATATTTCAGTTATTAAACTATCATTATTAGAAGCACCGTGAGGAAATGGATAGGGAACCTTCCTTGAGGCTAAGAAAACCTAGGCTCTAGTTCTGCTGTTGACCCACACTAGCTGCTGGAGCCTGGACAAGTAAATCTCTTAACCTCTCAATAGTCTGAGCAACTCTCTAAGACTAACAGTTGTAGGGAAAGTGAAAAATTCTTTTGAAACAGGTAGTTTCCTGACTTGAGATTTTCTGGCCAGATCACTCTCATTTACCTCAAAATGCCTTCCTCCAGAGCCAGTGGACTTCCACTTCTTGCTGTGCTGTGCCCAGCTGATGTACAGCTTTGGGTGGTAAGAGGATTGAGACCTTCCTCTGACCTATCTCTTGCTGTGAGTGTCCTCAGAGGAAAGGCTAGAAGAGGGGCAGCATAAGGCAACTCCCACCTCCTACAGCCTTGCTGGACATGTCTTTTTTTTAATGGATCTTTTTTTTTTTAATTTATTTTGAATTATCAACAATCACTTCCATAAATTTTTTGAGTTTTAAATTTTTCTCCCCTTCTCTCCCCAAGACGGCACACAATCTGATATAGGCTATGCATATACATTCCTGTTAAACATATTTTCACATTAGTAATGTTATAGGTAAGAATTAGAACCAATAGGAACCACCAGAAAGAGGAAACAGAACATAACAGAAGGAAAAAAAAATACTTGCTGGACATTTCTTAAGAGCCTCCTGTGTTTTAAGGCTATCTGATAGGCACAGAGGCTACAAAGACAATGAAACGGTCCCTGTTTTCCAGGAATTTGCATCCTGCTGGGAAGGTAGAATGTTTCCACAGCAGTGAAAAACAAAGTAGCTTGATTCTGAGGGGCAAAAGAGAGTGCAAGAGTACATCCCAGCATGCAGGAGATAAACAGAGGCCGGAAATGGAATATTTGGGAACCTCAAGACATGCTTGAGGGCTGGTGCTCCCATTTTGTCCTCTCAGAGCTCTCTGCACCAGACAGTTCACCGACCTCCCCCCATGTGCACTGTACAGAGTGCTTGGAGGATCCTGGAGCAGGACGGGGTGGGGTCAGCTGAATCCACTTCAAGGAAAAATGTTTAGCCTGAAACAGCATGGCCGGGATGTGTTACTTATCTATTCAAGCATCTGAAGGACGACCACAGGAAAGAAAGAGTTAGATGTAGTCTACATAGCTCCATGAACAGAATCAGGACTCAGGAATTGCAGGGAGCCAGCTCAGGTCAGTGACTATCAGTAGAAGTGTTCAAACAGCCCACTTAGCAGATATTTGTAAGGGGCAATCTATGCTCTGCGAGTTGGCACCAGATCCTTTATGACTCTTCCCACTCAGAGATTCCTGGATTCAATCATTGTGCCCTTGGCGTTCTCTGCTTTCACATTCCTAGGAGTTCTGCGATGCCATTTGAAAAACTTTTAGGAAAGCTGCTTTAGGTCTGGCCGAAACAAAAATTGATTACAAGAAGAAAGACCATCCAGCTAATATGTTAAAAGTTCCCTGACCAAGAGAATGAGGGCTTTAATTTTTCATCTTAAGAGCCATTCTTCCTCATCTCCTCATTCATCGTCTCCATTGATGTTTGAAGATGCTTGAACCCGGTTGCTTCTTTCCACAACCAACTCCCTATTAGAATGAGGCAACCCTATGAAAAAAAATTATTTTGCTGTTGGTGCAGTCTTACAGGTATCAGTGGGGGAAGTGGTGGTGCCTGAAAATGTTAAATCTGGGCATTGCTCAGAGCTTGGAACGGGAATGATGAAATCTGAGAGATGTATATTATGTTAGAATGGAATTAGAACCGGACTATAGGCCAGGTTCTGCCTTTAATTGGCTGCGTGACCTAAAGGAGATCTCTTCTCCGGGTCTTAGATGTTTTCTATCATCTCTGACATCCTGTGAATGTGCTTGGTGATGTAGGACAGACCAGGATGAGATGCCACGTAAGCAGGGGCACTGGAAGCTGTGCTGCCCTTCTAGGGTCTCTGATGTGGAGATAATTTTCAATTCTGAGCTCTTAATGTTTAATATTTGCCATAATTCCCTGAAGTGTTAGGGCATTTTGAAAAATGCGCACCCACTCTCTTCAGAGCACGTGACGGTTCCCAAGTGAGGCATATCTGACGATGACAAGTATGGAGCGGTAATAGAAAAGGGGATGTTTCTCCTCTCCTCGCCCCTCCAACCTTTGGAGCCTGGTTTGGCCCTCCCTGGCTCACATTCCTGACAAGTGGGGTGACCTGAGGTAGAGTGAGGAAGACCACCAAGCTTTTGAGTCCTACCACCTTTTCTTACTAGCTGCGTGAACCTCACCTGGGGTTACTCTCTGAACAGAAATCCCCTCGGTGATTAAATGGAGCTGCTTCACAAGGTGGTGGTTAGGCTCCAATGAGATAAAGACTTCCGGCTTCTCTGTTGGCTCACTCCAAGCAACCGGAGCCCGGAAAGGCCTGTGTGAACAGCAGGGAGCAGGGTTTCCTGTGGGGCTCGCAGGAGGGGAACAGCTCTCCTCTCAAACAGCCCTGCTGTTTTCAAAACATTCCTCCCACAGACTGAGGGCCTGTTGTTTGTCTATTCACAGCAAAACGACATGGGTTTGACACCAGAAACAGCTCTGTCTCTGACACCGATGCCTTGTTCCTCTTCAGGGATCCAGAGGTGAGGGTTAGTGACAGCCAGGCTCTCCCAGGGCTGGGGATGTCAGTTTGTTAAGAGGAGCCCCCTGCATACAGGGGTCATACCTCCTTCAGTCTACCCAGCTTCAGGTTTGCTTGGAGGAGAACAGTGGCCTCAACTGTGCTCCTGGTCTTACCTTGTCCACCCTAGAGATATAAATGGCTGATGCTGGAAGGGGCCTTAGGCATACTCGGTCTCTCTAGTCTATCTTCTCTTTTCTATATTAACAGATGGGAAGACAGACTCAGAGAAGGAATTGGTTCACCATGAGTCGTTAGCCGACCTAGAACTAGAATTTAGAATACCCAATCCTAGTCTAACTCATAGCTCTTGGTATGCCACATTCAAGCAAAAACCATATATTAAGGGCTAGCTGTATGCCAGGCAACTCCCTGATATCTGGGGATACAGAAAACAAAAACAGACTTGTTTTCCCTTTCACATCCTCACTGCTTAGTGTGGTACCTAATATATAAGGCAGTGGTGTGCATTACTAGGAGCTAGAGGGATCTGGGAAGACTTCACGTAGGCAGTGGTGACTGAGCCGACTTTTGGAGGAATCTGTGGGTTTTAAGAGGTGACTATGAGGAGGGAGTGCAGTTCCTGACATGGAAAGGTGGCCTGTGTTCAATGAGTTATGCATTTATTTAGTAAAGCATGGAGGAGAAGAAGGAATGCTATGTGAGAGGAATAGACAGAAAGCCAGTTTGGCTGCCGCAAAGACTATATTAAGGGTTGTCTCATAGTCATTAGTATGGATATTGAACTTGTTTTCTGTGTAGCACAGATGGGTTGTAATGTCTAACCTGACCAGGCTTAGTAGCAGTGGCACATCTACAAAGTTATCAGTGGTCATAGAACTAAGACCCTCACACGTGGTGCTGGTGCAGGGTTGGGACTGATTTGGTTCCAGTTGAACATCTGTAGTAATGGAGGTCAGCTGGTGCATCCACCTTCCCCTGGTTCTTTTTACAGATGAGACAATAGATCCAGAAAAGTTGGGGCTTGTTCAGCGGCCCTGTGGAAAGAGCTCTGGATTTGGAGGCAGACAACCTGGGTGGTATAACCTTGTGCAAGCTCCTCTGAGCCTCAGTTTCCATATGTGTCAGAGGAGAGGACTGGATTAGATCTGTAGGGCACTATGATCCCCACTTGTTCAATAAATATTTACAAAATCTACTAGGGAAAGACAGAAACAGGCCCCACTGGCAAGAATATTGACATTCTGTTGGGGGGCAAACCCCCCATTTTTGTTGTGGCTACAGCAATGGGCCTGGGGTCAGGAAAACCTGAGTTCAAATCTTGCCCAGAACACTAGCTCTATGGTCCTGGGTAAGTCACTTAACCTCTGTCTGCCTCAGTTTTCTCATTTGTAAAATAGGGATGATAATAATACCTACCTCCACAGGAAAAAAAAAAAAAGGACAGGATGGGGTCCATTGGAGATCATGGTTTTGTTTAATTTTAAAATCAATGATATAATAAGAAGCAAGAGGGAAAAATTGTTCAGTCACACTAAATTCCCATCAGATTCTCCTCGGTCTCCTTGCTGTTCCTAGAACAAGACGCTATTCTTCCACTCTGGGCATTTTCACTCTTTCCCACACATGAATGGTCTACCTCCTCATCTCCACCTGCTTTCCCTGACTTCCTTCATGTCCAAGCTAAAATGCCACCTATGGAAAGGCTTTCCTGATCCCTGTTAATTCTGGTGTCTTTTTTCTATCTGTTCTTTCCAATTTATCCAGTATGTAGCTTGTTTACACATAATTGTTTGTATGTTGTTAACCCTTCTCCTCCTCCCCCTGCCCCTACCATTAGATTGTAAGCCCCTTGAGAGCAGAGACTTGTCTTACCTTTCTTTGTATTCCCACTGCTTAGCACAGTGCCTGGCAGATCTTAGGCACTTAATAAATACCATTTCCCTGTTTCCACCTTATCTAAACCAGAAACGCTTCCTTTGGAGAGAAGGAAACTAGATGGTCTCCTGAGAGCCTCTCTCAGCTCTGAGACGTCCTGATTTTATCACTCTTCTTCTGAACCCCACTGATCTCTTAGATGCCAAATCTAATGACTTTTTCTCAGTGCTTATCCTTGACCTCTCTGTAGCATTTGACATGGTTGATCACCCCCTCCTAGATAC